TCGTTGGAAATTTTCGGTATCCTAGCAATAATTGAACAGACGTGTCATCTAACAGAATGGAGTTGAATACTGGTCTTTCTCTATTAGAAAACACGCAGTCGTGTGTGTGAAATTGATCAACTCGGATGTTTTATTTCTATAGCATTCACGTGATCTCCGACCAGTCCAACGCGCATTGGCACAGGAGTTGACTCTGCTGGTCCACGGAGGTGAGATTGTTTTTCGCTCGTGAAATAGGTATATTGTTTTTTTCTTGTCACGAATTTCTCTTTTGCCTTCAGATGTTTATTTCGAACTTGAATTCAAGTCAAGTTAAGCTTTATGCATCCAACAAAGTGGATGTTCAGCGCTTTCGACAAGTTACAGTGGAGAAAACATTGAGCACTAGAAAAAAGGCACTAAAATTTTACTGAATGAAAAAAACAACAAATGGATGTGATAAGAAGCTAATGTGACAGGTGATTTTTCGAACCAGTAACGAAAGCGGCTCGGTTTACTAAGATACGAGCAAAATGAGGGATAATGCTGTTTCGGTATGTAGTGATACGTGCACAAAAAATCCTTTTCAGAATCCTCTACCAATTTGAACAGAGTTTTTAACCTAACGTAACCTTTCATATTTGGCTTTGGTGCATCGTTTGTTTTATACAGAATGTTCTAATTTAATCATTATAGAAAGTAACTTAATTTGATGTTCTGTTTGGTTTACTCATTCTTGGTTGTTTTATTTTCACAGTAACCTGTTCACTATTTCACTAGCTTAGTAGGGTGACTAGCCATCTGAACAGTGACCATGCGCGTTTCTCAGAACAACTGTATGTATATGTATGCAAGCTACATATTTGTTCATTGGACCTAATGAAAGCTAGATGCGATGACACATGTACTGGGGAACAGATCTTGCAAAATTGAAGCCAGCTCACTCACGCATGCATACGCACACAGGTATGTGTACACGTGTTTGTATTGTTACCCAAATTCAGTTCATTTTCATGACTGACACGCACGATGTGCACCCTATAGATCGTTCAAGAAGCCACTGAATGACAGTCCTGTGACCGGCTATTTATCGTGCTGGTTTTAGGCTGAACTACGTCGAGTTTACTCTTACTTAACGTATCTTTAGCACAATAGTTCAATATATATACATTCATATTCTGAAGCTTTGTGAGCTCCGCTAACGTTTACCCGGTAAGAAAAATTTGTTTCTGCAAGAGATCTCAACAATAGATCGTGCTTCCCTGCTTAGCGGCCTGTTAACGCAATGTATTTGAAGGCATGTTCTGGTCCTTCATCATCATCGTTGTATAGCGTAATACAATAGATTGAACTCCACTGATCTCTACTAAACTCAATGCGGGCGGTTATCTCCTCTGATGCTCTACCATCGTTGTTCACGCAGCTACCCAAATACGAGAAGTAGTCAACTTCAGCTAATTCCTAACCGTCTAGTTTCAGAACGGAACTCGGCCACGCCCGGTCTTGCAGCATCACTTTGCACTTTGAACATGCACAGCGCATGCCGAACGAAGCAACAGAACTTGCTAATCTGTCAAGTGTTTATTGTGTATCCTCCATACGTACGAACAGGCAAACAATGTCAACGATACCAACATTTTAGAGACCACTTAGTGTGTTATCCAGTATTTCGTCTATGACGAAAGATGAATGATGATCTGCCGATCAAGTTTGGTAGGGCTTTCTGCGACCAGTTACTTGGAGAGTGAACTGCATCAAAACTAATTCGTTTTCGGATTCAACGCAGGTGGTCCGATAGGACCTGCAGTTTTGTACTGGGCAACGCCAACGGTAACTTACTGCTATGTGGTCCATCTGATTTAGCGAACTAGTTAAAATGGAGAACCACGTTGCCGTCCGTCGAGAGCTGTGTCGGAAGTTAGTACTCGATAGGAACAGGTGATGATCTGTGCAGAACTGAAGAGGTCAATCACCATTATCTGTTCGTTGGCTGGACAAAGCACAACTACCGCCTAAACAAGCTTTTGATGTGCTCAGTTTTCCAACCTGCGCGTTGAAGTCATCTGCAAATAGAACTATATCTGTGCTTCGACTCATCCGAATGAGGTCGGTGAGTTCATCGTGGAAAACGTCCTTTTGTGTTTCAGAACTGTAATTAGTCGGTGCATATGCTGATCGATGAACAAACACCTTTTGGTGTTGCTTCCCTTCCGGAAGCTGACTGAACCCTGGAGATGCACTGCACATAAACGACTGTTGACGGGGATCCAATCGATAAGAGAGGACTCTGCCCTGTTACTGAGTACAACACCTACCCCGCACTGACCTACTGAACGAGCTTTATCTTCACCTGATGTGCGAATAACGTATCTCGTCGACAAATCTGGCGCGCTCAAGTGGCTTGTAGTAGCAGGATCCTGGATTCGAGTTTCCGACACGCAGCAATTATCGATTCCTAAGGATTCCATTATACGAGCCAGAAACGTTTGTTGACCTAGCTGCTTCAAAGTTCTCGCGTTGATGGACAAAGTTTTAGAATCTGCAATTCGTTTCGTGGTACATTATTTACAGCGCTACTTGACAACGATCTTTTTCGAGCGACATCCAAGTTGCTCGAGGGACTATTACAGGTCGAAAGAAAGGGAAACTGGAAAGGGCTGGGTGCTGAAGACAAACGATTAAACAAAGATTGGGCAATTTGCGCAGTAGCCCACTTATCATTACCCACGCCTCTCGATGCAATGGGCAGCGCGGTTCTAATTGTCATGCGCGACGACCGATGCCGTATGGAATTATTTTTGTCTGTGTGCAACAGAGTTCGGAGGACGGGAACTGCTAGGGTATCCAAGCCCTAAGTTGGAAAACGATTAGGGTTCTCGTCAAAAGGCTTTAGTTCTAACTAGCACCTAACCGCAAGGCAGCGGTTAAAGCGAGGTTGGAGCCCATCTAATTGGATCAATTACTCCTCTACCATTTTACCGACTGAGACGCTAACTCCAACCCAACCTGGAGGACTAGGAGAATAATCTGTCTTACCTCACCCCTTGACCTTTCAGATATGATAAGATTTGGCTTGATAAGGAAATCCTGTATAGCTCGTTGGGTCAGAAAGGTGCACAAGACGTCACACCACGTCAATATGCAGTCTCATCTTGATGGTATTTTTTATGCGATCACTTTTGTGGGTATCAGACATCTTGTTTGACACGCTTCACCAATTGTTGTCTCTGATAATGATCAGCAACCTCCAAGGAGAGTGGTTAGTTTGTTAAACGGTTTTAGTTGCTGTTACTAATGTGCCTCGGTTCCTAAGCTCCTAATTTCAAATACTTCCACTATGATCCGGCTTTGTTGGTGGGCAGGTTCGATCACATCTAATTCAGTGCCGCGCCTTTACTGCTGTAGTTTTACGTGTTTGCTGCCACAATTCTATGTGCTGATGTTCATAATCGGATAAAACTTCACCGTGGGTATGGATTTCACCCCTACTGCATCTTGTCACATTGCCTCCATCTCCACTTGGCTGTTCAGTTGATCGCTGCCGTTCAAAAACTGGAGGAACTGTTCAACTAGCGGTAAATTCAAGTCACACTTATCAATAGGTGCGAAACAAACCAGCCGTCAAAATGCAGACGGGAGAGTGAGTGAGTAAAAGGCCTAACGAAGCCGGTGTGCCAACCTACGATTTACTGTGTTCGATAATTTTTTTGAGGCCTTCACGGTGACACATTCAGCACATTCAGACAGGTAGGCTGTATCGTACCAAACTGCATTATGCAGACAGGGATGATCGATGCTCATGTGTAAAGTTAAAGGTTCAGTTGCGGTCGAATACGGAGGGGCTCATCTGTCCAGAGTTCGGTGTGAGTCAGACACATTGTATAGGTTCTTGTTACTATTTTCTCTATTTCCTCCCGTTGTATCACAAGGCATTTACACAATCAATTGCTTTGGGTCTACTGGGTCCAGTTTGGTTTGCCGATTGACGAGTGATTGATTTGTTTACATAAGCACATCGAAAAACAATTCAAGTTTGACCGATCGGTTTTAGTTTTTAAGTTAGTTCTGGGGTCCGTAGCAATGAATCATATGACAGACCTTGTCTAATGGGTGGACACCATCGATGCTTTGCGTAGTCACTTTGCGTGACGTTTTTATCTTCTGTGGCACTGTCGAACGTCCATCCAATTCTATTGTTGTATTTGTTGTTCAATCGGTTTCATCTTTTTTCACACGCTTTCCTGTAATGTGCGATTTCCCAAATAAGTTATCTCTTACGAATCGAACAGGACGAACACAGTGAAGTATGAGAATTAGCGATCACCGTCACCGCAACTGTTCCACAGTCCCATTATGGGGATACCAATTGTTTGTGTTTACCATTATATGTATAACTAGCGCCTATTTTGTTGTTATTCTCGTTCGTCCCATTCGTTAGAACTCCCTTCTTTCAATCCTCAGACGAAGAGAGGTGACAAATATCGCTTATGTGAAATGTCAATTTATATACCCTGGTAAACTTTGCAAGAGACAATGAATAGGAGCTCAATGTTTCACAACACGATCATGTGAATACAAAAATGTGAAGTTTAGAACGCGGACAGCGCCAAGCAATAGAACATTGTGCGCTAGTTGAATTTGTTCACATGGATTTAGTTTTTGTTCAGATTAGTGTTGCCTTAAATAGTGCTCGTGATTTCCGGTTGCAGTTGCGCACAGTCCTTCCCTGCAAACTGGTGATTTGTTCTCACATGCTTGACAATAGATCAATCGGGCTCCCTTGATTTCGGTCGTCATTTTAGACTCTTTGTGTCATCACGGTCAGCAATCGCATGGCACGTGCTCCATCACTCATTGGGTCAGACGCCGATCATCTTTGTCTATGTAGAATAAAGCTTCAAGTGAACATAGATGTTGTGGGAGACGCTTAACTCAGTAGAGCTCTTCGAGGAGTCTTACGCGTATAGCTTTGTATTGTCACCTGTGTATTGTCCTTGTGCAACTCATTTATAAAGTTTCCTATGGAGAAAAGCTATAGTTTTGTCTGCGAGTCTACTTTAAACAGTTTGAACTTGTTCTTGTTTTCAGTGGCTGGCCTTCAATCTGCCGAACTGGCAACGCGAGTTTTCTTCCCTCGTGTTGGAAGTCAAAGTGCACAAGGTCAGCGTCCAACCTCTCTCGATATACTTACCAATCAGCTGAGCTTATCCGAGCGCAATTATCTCCGAGAATGTTTGTCCCCGACTGCTCATCTGCTGCCTGTGATATATGCACGCCAACCTTCCTCCAACGCGAATCCGGGGGCTCTGATCGAATGGCTTGTCAACATTTTAACGAGAACTGGTCAGGATTCCACTCCACAAAAATCTGTCCTTTGCGATCAGGTGACCAAAGGTGTGGTGGTAAATGATGTGATCATCTTTCGCCCCGGTACAGTCAGTGGTCAGATGGCATTGAAGGTCGCCGAACTGGATTCTGGGGTGTTGACAGAGATCGCACCACGCATTTCGGAAGCCCTGGCGCGATCTGTTCCCAACTTAGGATTTCATCTTATGAAAATCGGTAATTTTTTCCACTGTTCCTCCCGTCCCTGATTCACGTGATCCAGACAGCTTGAATTCCGACTGTGCTTTTCGTATCTCCTCATTTCTCTCTCGCCCAGTGTTTGTATGTATGTATGTGTTGTTTAGACTCTCGCAACCAGATCACGCGACCGTCACGTGCGACCACAGTTGCATTTTTCATGCAGTCATTCTGCACGCATAGGTCACTTCGAGCACGGTTAGTAAAACTGCATTTCATGGAATCGTTTGCGAGCAGAACAATGTACTCTTCCGATAGAGCGAAGCCTTTCCACCAAATTCACTCAGATGCTAAGGTCTTTCCGTCGATTTTTTTCTGAAGCGTGTTCTAACTCCACAAAAATGAACTGGGAGGTTCTGTGAAATATTTGGTTGCACTTTATTTCTCCGGGTTGTCAACTGCAGTTTCGCATCCTGCAAACAGTCATCGTAACAATTTTTTTCGGGAGGAGGGAGATTTTTGTTTGGTTAATTTCGCCCATTCCGCGAAATACAAGTCGGCTTCCAAAGACAGGGATAGTTGCCTCCATAAATCTAACTCCAACAGTCACGAACGAAACACGACTACTCGGTTCTTTTTGCATTAAAAATCTTCGCGGAATACACTCTTCGTATTGATTGAAGATAAACTGTTGTAGTTTTGGACACGGGACTGCGTACTACCCAAAACCTCCACCGGTTGGGGATAGGAGACAACAACCGAATTGGTGGCTCCAGACCCACTAAAAGACTAGATCGCAGGCAAGCAACACAATACCCGACAATTTATTAGATTTTCTTCTGGAAAGGGTCCCGCTGGTCAAACACCACCATAGTTTGATGACGGTATCGCGATATGGCTGTGCGATCCACCATTGATTAGGACATCACACCTTGTCCACTTCACAAGCATTGATGATGTCACCTCGACTGGTGATGAAACGTTTCGAAATAAATGGCCAATCTCGGCGAACATGCGAAGTGGAATACATTCGTACTCCTTTGAATTCAAACTGTACCAATAGAATCACTTGGTAAACCTAATTCTGAGAATGAGATGATTATGCAATTATCGTAGACAACTCTCTTCCTTTGGATCGCACATCATTTGAATTTTTTTTTATTAAGATGTGGAGGAGAAACAATGGAAACCGATTAGCTCCTTTAATACGGGTTAACGTTTACGTGGCTCCTTGTTTACCTTTGGTACGGCACGACCCGTGCTTTTTTTCAAAACGAATGGTGTTTTCAGTTTCGGTCGTGAAACCTGTTCTGGTGGCCATTTAAATTAACTCTGTTGATATTTGAGGGATCATTTTGGTGTGATTGCGTACCATTTCACGACGGCATACTAACCCTAAGTACCCCCATTAGATAATCGGGAACCGTGTTACCAAATGAATTGCACGATCAAGACATCAGTCTTTGGTTGTCCAGAAAAGGAAGCAGGTATGTAGACCGTCTGCGAAAGTCGCGCGAACTTATCACAGTGAGCGCCGTAGACCAACGACGCTGCTTTCGCAAATGATTGTTCCAAGAACTGCATTGGGCATTGTGTTTGACTGATTACTCCTTCAGAACCTTCTTGAGGGAGATTGGGGTGATTGTCACTCAAATCCCGTTGTACGCTAGTTTCTCTGTTTCTTTGTCTACCTCTGGTGTTGAAGTTTACGGACTTATTGGACTCTGACCTGATGGGTCGTGGGCGACTTTAGCTGACAGTGTTGCTTGACTGGCGGTGTGCACGGCCAACAGAGGAATCGGACTACTTAATTAAAACGAAGCAGTACGACGTCTAGTGGCTGGTTTTGACGTAATGTGATTTCTTCCCTGTGCTCTGAATGCCAAAGTGGGGAAATTCAACCAAACACGGGTAAGCAGTGGGAGTTTCTATGGCTCTCATGTCGCAAACACAACATCTTGTTTGCCTCGGTAGACCTTTCCAACTTCTTTGATTCTGTTGCGCAAGACACTATCCTTCGTTCTGCCGCATGATTTGGTGCCTCCTACCTTACTTACGATCCTCACATGACACGGCCTCCAGTATACTCCTACTTGGTTCCCACATATTTCTGAAACATGGCGTGAGACAGTGCGATGCATATCTCTTTTTCTGATGAGGTTTAATGAAATTCTCCAACTCTGCTACCCATCGATTACTTTCCTTTCTCCTTATGACCCTGTGGACGCTATTGTCTATGCCGACGACCTGTTCTCCGATTCTTCGATCGAACTACGAACTGTTCAATTGTCATTCTGCCAGCATCGCCGTCGGTCTTTTACTTAACCTCCAAAAATCCTATGTTTCTGTTATATCTTGGTCAAAATTTAGAACTACTGCTCTTGACCCGCTACCTCCCCTCTCCCCCCCCTACACGAGACTGTCCTACACTCATCTAGCCCATCCTCATTTTTTACTACCTCCGTATTCCATTTAAGTTCAAATGTAAAGCAAGTGTCAGCCTTTTCAATATCGTCTTGCGAAACAGAATCGGAGACCTCAGAAAGGTCTATAGAGACAAGCGAGATATGAGCGTTGCATGAATGCTCGCTGACCAGTTTACAAGTTAACTGTACCCAAATTTACCATTGTCGGTGATAGTTCACAATACTGAGGGTAAAACCCTGAGCAGCAGAATAATATAATGCAAATAAGACCAGTTAAAGACACTGAAGTAGTGGTAATCGGTAAAAGAAAAATTTTGTGAGCTGGAAGTCATGCTTAGTGGTCCCCTAGTGTTTTACATCGAGTGGATTCATGGTCTTTTTAAACCGAATAATTGTAGATACACACAAGCTAAGTGCTTTCCTATGAAGAGCTGTTTTTCGATTGTACTTGTAGGTGTATTTATGGTGGTGATTAGACTGACAGATCCAACGGTGCGGGTTTAGTCGTTTTCAATCTGTTACTGTAGTTCTCTGTACCCTTAAGCATTGTAACTACCACCCAGTTTCGCTGACATTCACCACAATAACAGCTCCGTCCTAACACGGCTTAGTTCGTCGGTTACCATCGCAGAACAGTGAGTATACGGTTCGCCTTTTTTACTTGCTACGATAAAAAGGTGTTTAGGTGGTATAAGCAATTCATCTCCTCGGAGGTTGTGCTTGAATCCCACCGCCATCCACCTTTTTAATTTCTATATCCCCGGGTAACCGTAACCCTCTTTTCCGGAACTTTATGTACTTTTACGCACTCAATAAAAAGCAGCAAGAATAATGTTACTCACAACGATGCGTAACGGTCAATAACTTTCACCTGCTCGTTATTTCATCGGACATCACCGCTCCCATTAAATGTTTTCTCAATTTCTTTTTTCGTTCTCATTGTAGGTAAACATGAACACTGGTTTGTGGTCGATGATCGCTCGTGACATTGACCCGGTACTTTTGTACGATACCTTGTGAATTCGTAGCAAAGAAATATATTTTCCATCGATCATACCACTTTCTTATGCGCTTGTCACCGCGACTCTCTTTTCAATCGGCCGACAAATATCAACGTTCCCTGTGTATTATGCTGGAGAAGTTCCACAAGTTTACTTTGCGTTTCAAATAGTCCCTTGTATAATCAAAATTTTGATCCCAGCGGTGATGAACCTGGTATTTCGGTTTGTCTTTTAGAACAAACATTTTGGCTCTCGATGTTGGTGTTGAACCGGTACAACTGATTGGGCCTCATCAAAGATACGTTCAGAAATGATGCAACAGGAATAAGAAACTGTACGACGAAGCCAATCAAGTAGTGATTGAAGAAGCTTTAGATGTCAGGTGAAATGCAGCCATCACTCGGGGAAAGCATCTAAATTTCGGTCGCCAGCAAACGAGTCCCGATAGAGTTTCGCTTTTTAGGTGGGATACCAGCAATTTTTCCTTCGTATCTGATTGCCATCGTTACGCATCTTGTCAACTGTACCACCCAATGCCAACGGTGTATGTATAATCGCATTTTCCCACAAGCCCTTTTGGAGTTCACGAAACTTCATTCTCTAAATCATTCTTGGGTCTAGGCTGAGTCTGTTCACGTAACGATATTCCAAGATTTACACATGAGCATGGTGACTGATTTATACATCATGACGTGACTTGCTTTCTTAGCCGACTGATCGAGGCCCATTATCGCGGGTTTCGTTCACTGTCGTCGAAAACTCCCTCCAACAACATTTCTTGAAGGGAGATTAACAGGTAGATGAAAGAACATCGAAACCTTCATCCTCGCTCATTAACTCACTCTGTGTATGTTTCTCGGTAAATGAGTTCATTCCGACTGGATGGGTGTTGTGATACACCGGGGTGATGTGTGGCGTGCAGAGCATTAATCATCTTGTGGGGGTTCCGATTGAACTCGAAAGATAGAGTCCCATAAAGGTTTCGCTTGATGTTCGAAGATTCAGATGAAGTCCACCAGGCGAAATACTACGTCCTTTATGTTAACGGACTGAAGTTGTAGCGAATTTCGAAATATGCGCATGCTCGTACTTTTAGTCGTGCACTTGTTTTCCCATAATTCATGATCATGCCGTTATACTTCACATGAGAAGATTAAACCTAGGGATGGGAGAATACCATTCGCGATATATATATATATATATATATATATATATCACGTCTAAGTTCAGACTGTGCCAAACAAATCATGTTAAAATAATCTTTGTAAAAAGGAAAACGTTCCACGATTTGCATCTTGGCGGAAAACTGCCAGGTTGCCCGGTCCAAGGCAGTTGAATTTGCTTGAGGAATCCACAACCGGAGCCTTCGGCTATCCAAGCCTGACCCGCAAGGCAGCGGGGCGGTGTGCCGCAATCCATTGGGGTTCGGTGTCCAGTTCATCGGATCATACGCCCTTTGGACGGGGTCAAACGTCGAAAGTGCCCAATCGAGCCGGTGACCGTTGCCACAACCGGAAAGGTATGGGTTTGGTTCGTACGCTTCCTCTTGATTGGTTTGGAATCACAGTTTTTGGTCACCTCGTCTAGGTGATTTGCCAGTGATCCACCAATCTGGTTATAGCCCCGAATGTCGGCATTTTGTCC